CTAGATCTGAAGTCATGACTCCATAACATGCTTTCATCCATGAATGGTCCCAAAATGGGCTCCTTAAAGCCCTAAACTACTCCATGAAGAGATCTAGTAAATGAATAGAGAAGGTATAGACTTTATACCTCAATAAGAATGCTTTGACCATGAAATCTATGGATCTAGGGCTTCTTCCTTTCTACCAAGAACTTCTAGCTTCCACTCCTTCAAGGCAATACCAAAGAATCACTCCTTTTCACTTACACACACTCACAAGGCGAGATCACGAATTAGGGTTTTGCTGGACCGAGGGAGGAGACGAGGGAGACCACAATGGAGTGTTAAAGTCCTTAAATAGGGTGAAAACCCTAAAAATTAGGGTTTCACTATGGCATTCCTACTCGTCGAGTCGAGGCTTCTTGGCTCGTCAAGTAGACGTCAAGTCCGGCGTCCCAAAAATCTGTTTCTACTCGACGATTTTGGAGCCTTTAACTCGTCGAGTCCCTTTGCGTAAATGAACAATTCTTTTTAAAATACATACCAGGAACCGGGCATTACAAAATATTTGAATAATTATATATATAGAAATAAGGAACCATTTGGGTTTTATTTAATTTATAAAAATACTATTTATAAGTTATTGTCATCAAAATGACCATTTACTAATTGAAGTTATAATGATAAAAATAATAATTGATATAAAGGTCTAAGGAGATATTATGTTATGTTCATAAACTTGTTTTTTTTATTAACCCACCAAATATCCAAACTTAGGAACTATTTCTATGGATTCCAGAAAACCCATGCCTCTTTGGTCTGTGCATCACGACTACGGGATGAGGGTAGAACTTCATCACGTTTTGTTGTTATTTGCAGCATATCCCGTATTTAACCAATCCAAACCCTATATTGATGGGTGAGTGCATGTTTATGTGTAACATCCAGACTCCCATGTATATTATTTTTTATTTGTTTTAAGATCTAATGAGCAACTCGACGAGTTGGTGCCTCAACTTGTCGAGTAGAGACTGATTGACCACGTGGGTCTAATAACCGACTTGATGAGTCAGAGAGCCAACTCGCCGAGTTGGCACTGTGAGATGAAACCCTAAATCCCCATATTTGGGGCCTATTTAAGAAAACTTATGTCCTCATTCCCACCTCACTAGCTACCCAACTCCCCTATGTGAAACCCTAATCGGCCATTGAGCTAAGAGAGAGTGATTGAGCTAATATTTGAGTGTTTTGGTGACTCTTTTGGAAGGAAAGAAGTCAGATACAAGCAAGGAACGAGGAGAGGCTATGGGATCCAACATTCCTTCACTTGGAGCTTCTGTGGAAGGTAAAAATCCTACACCTTTCTTATCTTATTGGTTAGATCTCATGAT